TGCAAAGTAGTCTCTGTGACTTTCCTCTAGACTTTGAATGTGTATTCTCCCCCAAATTCTGTGACAACTTTGTCAAAAAGTCCTTGTTCGCATCCTTCCAATCAGGTTTCTGCCCAGCTACAGGGCTAAGATGACCCATAGCAGACACTAGTGATGTCCTATGTGATTGTGACAGAAGAAAACTATAGCTCCTTATCCTTTCATTTGACAAGTTTGGTCACACAATTCTCTTCACGGTCACCTATTGGATGGGACTGCTTTCACCTGATTCCATTCCTGTCTGTGCTCCAGCTACATCCTTCAGGATACAGTTGGTTTAATCATTGGCAGAACCAGTAAGCTCTGGACATTGAAACCTCCCAAAAATAAAGAACACTTTGTGCTCTTTCTAACCTCCGTGCTCTTCTAGCAAACTGCAATACCAGATGCATCACCAGAAGGAGAGCGGTCAATGGGAATCAGTGGGCTGTTCCTTTAACTGGGGAGGTGATGGCCTAGTGGTATTATCACTGGACTGTTAACCCAGAGAGCCAGATAACATTCTGCAGACCTGGGTTCGAATCTTGCCACGGCAGATGGTGGAACTTGAATTCAATAAATATCTGGAATTAAGAATCTAATGATGACCATGAATCCATTGTTGGTTGTCAGGATAAAGCCATCTGGTTCACTAATGTCCTTTACAGAAGGAAACTTCCATCCTTCCTTGGTCTGGCCTATATGTGACTCCAGTCCCACCACAATGTGGTTGGCTCTGCCTTTTGGGCAGTTAGGGATGGGCAATTAATGCTGCCTAGTCAGCAACGCCCTCAGCACATCAACAAATAAAGAAAAAACAATTAGGCTCTATCAGAAGCTATGACATATCATGGAACCAACGAGATCGCTAAGGACTGCCACTGACTGCCACCTCACCCACTGATCAAGTAGTGTCATAAAGCATAGAAACAGACCCTTTGGTCCAACCAGTCCATTACCAAACATAATCCCAAACTGGTTCTGAGGAACAGTCACCAGATCCGAAACATTAACTCTGAATTTTCCTTTACTGATGCTGCCAGACCTGCTGAGCTTTTCCAGCAACGTCTTTTTTTGTATCATCCCAAACTAAACTAGTCCCACCTGCCTGCTTCTTCATGAGTGAATTAAAAAAAAACTGATGAGATAACAAATAGGTGTTAATGTAATCTAAATCACAAACAAAAAATAATATGAGGAAGCTACTTAGAGATAGTAAGAACTGCCGATGCTGGAGTCAGAGACAACACAGTGTGGAGCTGGATGAACACTGCAGGTCAGGCAGCATCAGCGGAGCAGGAAAGCTGACGTTTCGGCTCAGGACCATTCTTCAGTTTTCTGCTCCGCTGATGCTGCCTGGCCTGCTGTGTTCCTCCAGTTCCACACTGAGGAAGCTACTTGCTGGCCTCAAAGCACTCTGATTATCCTACACAAACCCACCTCATCAACAATGATAACAAGGTGTAGAGCTGGATGAACACAGCAGGCCAAGCAGCATCAGAGGAGCAGGAAGGTTGACGTTTCGGGCCTAGACCCTTCTTCAGAAAGTTTCTTGTTCCACTCATTCTGCACTGTTTGCTTACATTACTATTTGAACTCCACATTCGCTTGAATGATCAACACCTACACGTTTTAATTCCCTAATTGCTTTCAGGCAAATAGGAACTGGGCTAGACCATTCAGCCAGTTAAACCTATTCCATAATTTAGTTACGGAAAGGACAGAGAGCTACTTCAGCTCTGCTTATCAGCCTTTCATCCATATTCTTCAATAATCAGTAAAAAATATAATTGACCCAGATTTCACTACACACGGGGTGAAAGCCCACTTCCAATTTCATCCCCAAATGATCTTGCTCTAATTTCAAAATTGTGCTGTCTTGTTCTGTAATCACTAACCAGATAGTTTCATTACTTGTTCAAATCCATTTATTGTTTTAAAACACAATTCACACTTCAACTGTCTAAACTCAAAGGAATACAAGCCAAGTCTTTGCAAACTGTCCTGATGAACTAATTTAGTCTCTGTGGGCATATGAGAAAACAGTGTGATTGAGCCAATGTCGTATAACAGTTCAATTTGTTCCTGCTGCTAATAGGGTTATGGTTTACTGATGGAATGTCTTGTAGTAATTGGCCTATTGTGTTGCTAAGGCTGGAAACAAAATGTAATTAGATAAAGCTATCAGCATCTTAATGTTTAAAAATGTAAGCCGAACTTAGAATCTATGCAGTTACACACTTATTGTTGGCAAGCAGAATGTAACTGTCACTGCTTCTGAATAAAAATCCTCAGATTTTTAACTATTGATAACTGGTTATTCGAAGAAAAAAAGACAGTATTCAACAACTTAGCGTAGTCGGCAGGATTTGCAAAGACTGCAGAGACCCTGAGAACATTCCCTACACCCTTCGGCATTGTAAGGTAAGGACTCCTCTTATAATAAAAGTCCATTCATGTGATGGATTTTCGGGGACAGTCTAATGCGATTCTGTTCAAAGAACCTTATCGCCAATAGGAAACGTGAGCCCAAAGCAAAAACTACACATCAAAACCGTCATAAAGGACCCACGGCCCTATAAATAGGCACAACGGCTCTAATATCAGAAGCATAAAAACATTGCTCAAGATGTTTTAATCTGAGTTGCCCACGATCATTAAAGGTGGGCAGGCCCCGCCCATTATATCTGAAGACGAACTTCTCCAAAATTTAAAATAATACATTGAACAATTTGACCTCTCTATGACACTGACTGAAATCTGCCACAAGTATGGAACCTCCAGGGCGCAATGGTCCCTGGATGTCATTAAAGATATGTGGGTTAAAACTACCCAACTAAAAGACAAAGAACGGATTCGCTGGTCTTGATTTGTAAAGCAGCAAGTCAGACTGCGACAAGAAATTATTGAGAAATCTAATCATGACTGCGAAATTAATAATCAAATTTCAAATCAACCTGTTAGATGGTCATTTATAATGCCAACGCATACAAAGCTGTGGGCCTTATGCTGAAAAATGTGATTAAAACAGCTGGGTGGTTGTTTCTGCCCAGTCCAGACATGTTGGGCCAAAGGTCCTTTTTGTGCTGTAGGTCACCATAACTCTATGAGACTAAAGACCTTATTCATTAAGGAGCAGAGTAAATGAAAAAAATTGTACTCACTGGAACTTGGAGGAAGAAACCTGCCCGACTAGGTATGTATCTCACCGATACAGTCATATTTGTGAACACATATTTTCTGTTTTGGATAACAAATTCTGCCTGTTAACATTACACCAGTGTGCTGGAGTTTTAACAAGTATTCATGGCATACTAATGAATGCAAAACTGGTTGGGATCATTGGGTACAACAATAGTGCAGGATATTGTAGTTTTTCTTTTAGTAATTGTTGTCCTGTATCTTGCCTTCATGTTGCTTAGATGCTGTATTCACCAAATGCAAAAGCCTAAAATTCGACATTTTGCAACTTGCCAATGCCCTAAGAACTCTGCATATTATTGTTCGCTTCCTTTGCTTGTATACTT